CTTCATGATCTGATAAGCCTGAATTCTGAACAGAACAATTATGTGGACCATCACAAAAATTAGAACATACATAATCCAAAATTGATGCTGTCTGTTCTGTGACTCTTGTATGACTATCAACATGCATGGTCAGACCAAACGAGTTAAGCAAGTATTTGAGTGCTTGGACATTCATAATCTATATTAAGATCACCAACAAGAATCACAGATGCATGCCCCGATGACAACTGAGACAGTATAACTTCCAATTTATACAAAAACACTTAACACTAGGAGACCTGTAAATACAAACAACATATAAATTTAAAATCTTTGAATAAACAATCGACATTTCAAATAGTTTTTCACAGCACAAACTATCATATTTGTTTACAGGCATGAAGCCAAAAGATGTGATGCTATCATTTAATAAGAATTATTGAGCCGCCGTGAATAAAATCCTTTCTACTATATTTGCTTAAGATAGTTTAATTACTCAGATATAAACTTTCATCAGGCTTAAGCCACTGTTCTGTTAAACAAACTAATGAGGGGTGCTTCAAGTTGTCCAAGAGCAATTCAAGTTCAGAACCCTTTCTTCTAGCTGATTGCATATTTAGTAATAAAATACTCAATAAATTTGTATTTCTTCTAAAAAAGAACTGCTAACTGGTTGAGAAGTAATAGGTGAATTCTCGGGTGAAATAGTAATTGGACTAACACTTTCATTAAGGGTATGATTATTGTCTTTTGTGGGAAGACTAGTTTTTTCATCATTACAAAATTTTTCATGTCTAAAAGCAATTATTGAATTTTTCATGAAGTTAGATAGCTTAAAAACAACCCCTTTGACTAAGGTATATGCCATTTCTATTAAAGTCATGACGATAAAAACTATAACTATACAAATCAAGTAGATCAATATACTATAATTGAAATTTAGTTTCAGATCTTTTACAGTATTTTATTGACCTGCAATACATTGTAATTTAGATTCAGAGGACCATATTTAAGAGGTAGGGTACATATTATTAAATTAGTATTTGAGCAGTCTTTAGATAGTTTTTTCAAAGTGTATGGATTAATACTGTAATCATTTAAGCCTCCCAAGACAATAACATAGTCACTCATATTAAATTCATTTATTTATGGTAGGTACTGGGGAAATTATATCCTTAAGTAGAGCATTCGCCTTACAAATAACTTGTATGTCAAATTTAGTGCCTAGCATAAAGTCAAGGTGTTTATAAATATGTTTTCCATAACCATCTGTTAATACTAGAATCCTAGCATTTTTATTTAATTGGTCAGAACTTGGGGGTGGCTCGCAGAAACCTTCAGAATAATTAGGTAAATTTACTTTTTGCTTTGGCTTTATCGAGTTAACTGACTTTCCTGAGGCAAGTTCCTCTCTAACATGTAGGAGGTTTACCTTAAGATTTTTTATGTCCTTTATAAAAATTTCCTTTTCTTCTGTTAATACTTGAATGGTTGTTAACATGCTTTTGTTGGTCTCACCTAAATCTTTCAAGTCTTGCTTAAGTCTAATGTCAGCATTACGAAGCTCCTCCAGTTGCTTAGTCAGGTCAAAATTGGTATCAATCAGTTGGGAAACATTTTCATTTAAGTTAAGTATTTCTTTCTTCTGATCATTTAGTTGGGTTGTATGCTCCTGCTCAGCAGTGAAAACACTATCTTCAAAATCCCGAGTTCTTCTGTTAAGCCTTTTAATATGTTCCGCCTTCGCCTCATTATCTTTGACAAGATCGTTTTATCTCAGCCTGAGCTTCTTGCGAAATTTCTGAGCATTTGTTCTCTAGTCTTTCTAATTCCTCATCCTTGCTACTCGAATCGCCCTTAAGTTTTTCATATTTCTCCAAAAGAGTTTTGAAATTAGGAAGGTCCCTAGCATGCTCCTTTATTGCTATTCTACAAGTTAGTTTGCCATCCATGTATTTACTGTATTTTATGTGAACTATTAAACTTGTCTCAAGTATTTTGAGTAGGTACCTACTTACTTATAATAGTTATAATAAATAAGTTTCTTGATTTTCCAGTCCACAAACTATTTTACCAAATATCAAAATATGATAAACATTTTCGAATCTTGAATTAGTATAGGCTATTCGATTATATTTAAGTTCATATTTTTTTTTATAGAGAATTTAATGTTTTTTTTTTTTACTACCATGCGTAAAGTACTCACTTTACGCACTATTCAGTCGACGTAAAATTCCACTTCACGCACTAGTGCATAAAGTGAAAATATTTCACGCACTAGTTCGTAAAGTATTTGTCTAAATCTATTTTTTTACAAATATTTGATTGGTAGTAGAAAAAAATTTGTATGCAATACGTGCGTAATGCACCTTTTTTCACTCATGTGATTGTCGGTTCACTTTACACACTTGTTGCATAAATAACTATTTTTCAATGGTATATAAATTATTTCAATCTGCTTGAAATTTAATGAAGATATGGACAATTGTTCATGACTATAGGATTTTGAAAATTTTCCAGAGCCAAAAATAGGATTTTCTTTTTATTTTTGTTTCTGCTTAAAATGGCCATTTGGAAATAATTTTAGAGTTGTTTTCCACTAATTTGAACCCGTTTTATCAATTATAGTAAAGTCAAAATTGAGCAAAACTGGAAAATAAAAAAATCTAATTTTTCATAAATACCCCTTTGTGAATTTTAATTCTAAGTTTTCAAACCTCGATTTTTTGGTAACCGTTGAGCAAATTGCATTGAAATGTTCAGCTCTTGTAGCTCTTATTAAGCTCTTAATGGCCTGCAATTTACAATATTCCCAGATTTATAGTTTGTGAGCAAATTGAGTTTGAAATTTTTGACAAAATTTGGATTAAAAATCAACTTTGAGGCTCAATTGCTCAAAAACTATTTAGGCCATTAGACTTAATTTTGCACAGAGTTATAGATAATTTAATGCTCTTTCGAATGGTATATAATTTATTTCCATTTGCTTGAAATTTGACAGAGATATGGGTAATTATTCATGATGATGTCAAGATTTTAAAAATTTTCCAGTGCCAAAAATAAAAAAATCGAGTTACTTTTTTTGAATTCTAAAAGCCAAATTTGAGACTCAATTGCTCAAAAACTATTTGAACTATGAAGCTCAATTTTGCACGGATTTATAGAGAATTTATTGCTCTTTCCAATGAGATATAATTTATTTCAATTTGCTCAAATATCCAACGAAGATCTGCGCAATTATTTCTAACCGTATAACCAAAAATGAAATTTTTTTTCATTAATTTCAATATGATTTTAATGTGATTGGATTCGAATTAAACCCCAATTTCTTACCTTAATCAAAATCCTAAACACCCTCCTCACAACTATGAACAAAGTAGGCAAAACTGGAAAATCAATTATGATGTCCTCTATTAAAATACCTAAAATTAAAACCATCACCAAAAGGAAGTTAAAGACGTTACCATAAAGAAGTGGTACCTCAAGCTGATCACCTTGACGATGGCCTTTGGAATTATTTCAAATTAGTACCAGCTATGGACAAATAGTAGAAATACATAGTTCTTACCCAATCCAAATACTGTAGTGAAAAAAGGTATTGGCTTACTTCCAAAATGAAAAACACCATTAAATTTTGAAAATATTTTGTTGTGATCACCCTCTATTATTGAAATAAAAATTAATACATTGTAGTTATACAGGGTGGTTGATTTTCGATAGTTTGATAGGGTACAGCCAAAATGGCCGAAGATAGGTACTGAGAAACTGATATACGCTTTTGCGAGGTACAGGCTATGGGTACAGGGTGTTTTTCAAAATCAGCTGTTTTTTATAATCCTCTATAACTTCTTACCCGACGGAGATATAGAAAAAGTGCAAAAAAGAAAAATACGTCTTTTTTTACGTAGAATCCAGTGGCGTACTTAGAAAAAATATGGGGGCTTTATCTTTTGAGATATTTGAAACAACAAAGATTTTTCAAATGGAACACCCTGTATCTTATTGGTTCAGTAGTTTGAGAAAAAAATTGCGAGTTCGACGATATATAACACATGATATTTTGTTATGGCCCAAATGGCGAAAACAACAAAAAACACTTTTTTCTTTTCTACAAACGTTACTACAAGTGTCATTTTTAACGGATGCTGTCAGTGTCTTAGATGCCATTTTATGACACTGGTGTTAAAAGTGATTACTTTTAGTACCTACTGAGTGCTAAAAGTTGATTACTTTTAGTACCTACTGAGTGCTAAAAGTGATTTCTTTACTTTTAGTGCGTTGGTAGAAAAAATAGTGTATGATATTCGTGCTAAAAGTGATTTTATTTTGTTCAAAGGGATTACTTACTTACCGTTTCACGAAATAAAATGTCACTTTTAGCACTTATATCATAAATAACCATTCTACTACTACTACTTTTCTGGAATTTGAAAAAACAAAATTCTGGAATTTTCTTTTAGGAAACAAAAAAAAAATTGTAATTTTATTTCAGAAAAATTTTTTTCACCCTGTACAGGGTGATCCAGTATAAAGTGAACACTCCCTACCTTTTATTTCGAAAAACGTTTTCAAATTCCTAGAAACAAAATAGATCAAATGGCTATCTTGATTTTTTTTAGCGAAAAGGTAGGGGGTGTTCACTTTAACTGGATCACCCTGTACAAAAATTTATTTATTTTTTTGCCTGATGACATTTTCTTCTCAAAGTTATGTCTGCCAATTACTCAGAGATTAATTTTTTGAACTATGACATTTTTTACAGGCTCAGAAATTTAAGCTCTACTCCAATACAACAGGAAATCGTACAATTTACTGCTCAAAACATTAAATTTCTGCATAAAATCCATCTATTTCAAATTCCAATAACTCTATACTTTGTACTTATTTATATGCAAATTTTGGATTTTACGTACAAATTTTAAGTTTTAGTGCAAAATCGTGACGGTACCTACAACGTACGATTTCTTGCAGTGTTGCAACAAAGCCCCTGAAATCTTCAAACACAAATAAAACTACAACAATTATTACAAAACAATTTAATTTGAAATTCCTTTAATCAACATCCTTTTGAATCAAAAATTATTCTCCTTTTCCAAAAAAAAAAAAATAGAAAATGATTTTAACAATAGAAAAGAAATAGGTACTATTTTTAATAATGAACGATTAATATTGAAATAAATTTTTTTTAGTTATTTAGGTAGTTTACACAAACAATTAAAAATTATAATCAACGTTTCAACCCTAATAATAATTTTTTTTGTTTGTTTAATAATTTTCCAATTTTTTTTTTCATTTTTAAATATTTTACTTCTTGACTGCGGCTTGGTGAGCTTGCAACACCGCCACAGCTTCTTCCACTTTACTCTTCAACGATTCACCGTGTTCAAGCATGTGCAACAATTCCGCATTGTCAATTTCCAACAACATCCCAGTAATTTTGCTGGCCAAATCCGGATACATGCTTTGAATGAGCGGGAAAAGACGCTCGCCCAGCATCTGCTTTTGTTCGTGCAGCGGAGCCGAGGCCAGCATAGAGGCGGTGAGCGGTTCCATGCCTTGAATGCGCACGGCGGCTGGGAGAGCAGCTGGCATGGCTTGAGGTTGCTGATTGCGTACGTTTGCAGCGTACTTGAATGGTGCCGATTTGTTTCTTTGTTGGGCAAAGGTTTGTTGTTCTTGGGGACTTTGCCTGCCCGTGATTGGTCTGGGAACGTGCGCGTTGCCACTTCTGATGGCCATGTTTTGATTGGGTACTTGGGCAATCGGTCTGTAGGTGTTTGCCATGAATGGGTAAGGGCTTTGAGTTGGAGGAGCCGCCCGAACTGGAGCTTGATTGGGCCATCTAGTTCTAATGGACATTTGAGGGTTGGTGTAGAATCTTTGTTGGGGGGCTTGGATGGTTGGTTGGATGAAGCCTCCAGGGACAAATTGGCCCATTTGTTGGATGCGCATGTTGGTCATGCGTTGCATGTATTGAGAAGTTAAATGGGCTTTTCTTTCTTCTCTGCGCTGGGCTAAAGCTACGTATAGAGGCTTGGAGCCTACAATGCGGCCATTCATTTCGGTGACTGCTTTAGTGGCTTCTTCAGGTGAGGAGAAGCAAACAAAACCGAATCCTTTGGTGCGTCCTTCGTCCATCATTACTTTGACTGAAGTGATTGTGCCAAATTGGCTGAATTCTTTGCGCAAACGTTCATCATCGATAGTGTCATCCAGATTTTTAATGTACAAGTTGATTCCTTGGTAGCGGCTGAGTCTTTCGATTTTCAAGGCCTCAAAGTGGCGTTTAAGCTCTTGTTGGCGTTCAGCTTTTTTTTGGGCGCGGCCCACATATAGGGGTTTGCCTTCAATTAATTCTTTGCCATTTAAGGCTTTGACTGCCGCTTCAGCTGCTTCCGCGGTTTCAAAGGAAACAAAGCCAAATCTGCTTATTGTTTTTTCGCTTTCTTTGTTGATAATTTTGTAGCTGGTTATTTGTCCGTATTGAGTGAACATGTTTAGGAATTGTTCTTCAGTTAGGTCCAGGCCGAAGTTTTTGACGTAAACGTTGGTGAAGAGTTTGACTTTGTCTCCAAGTTCCTTTTCTCTTTCCTTGCTGGACATGAAGGGGCCAACGTAGACTTTCTTGCCGTTGAGCAACATTCCATTGACTTTTTCGATGGATTTTTTGGCAGCTTCTTCAGTTTCGAAATGCACAAATCCATATCCTTTGCTGGAGCCGTTCTCAGTCTGAGCCACTTTACAACTCAGAATGTTGCCAAAAGCGGAAAAAGTATCGTACATGGCTTTGTTATCAATGGAATGGTCAAGGTTTTTGATAAAGACGTTGCCAACTCCGGATTTTCTCAACGAAGGGTCACGTTGCGACCACATGATACGGATGGGCCTGCCCTTCATCAAATCGAAGTTCATGGTGTCTAGGGCTCTTTCAGCGTCAGCGGGCTGTTGGAAATTGATGTAGGCGTAGCCCAGGGATCTGCGAGTGATCAAATCACGACACACGCGGATGGACAAAATGGGGCCAGCTGTCGAGAACTTTTCGAAGAGCATCGCCTCGGTGACGTCGTGGTGCAAATCTCCGACGTACAGAGACGCCATGGGGTAAGTGGGGACCAACTGATTCATACTTGCTACTACTTACAAATTATTTTTTTAATCAACAAATTTGCTTCGTCTTGCACGTGATGGGGTATTTTCACTATTTGTTTTTACGATTTTTTTGACTTGAATTTTTGAGTTTTTTTGATTTTTTTTTGGGGGGTTTTTATATATTTTTTCTTTAATTAAAAATTAAAAGATGCGGACACGTGTGTGTTTTTGGGAACACGTACGCGAACTTTCTCTTCTTCTTTTTGAAAGGGTGTCCGATTTTGGACGTTTGACAGAACGACGTTTATTGCTGTGTTGCCATATTTAAGTATTATTTTCTTGCACTTTTACCAGTCTCACCTCAGGGAAAAAGCAGAAAATTGACTAAACTGAAAGAATAAGATCAGCAGGTTGTTAAATTTTTAGTTTTACGTGTTGCCTCTGCAATCAAAAGTAATTGATAAGTATAAACTTTAAAATAAAAATATTTAGTTTGAATTACGCGCCATTTTTCTATTTCACTCTTCTTTTTCATAGTTCAATTCTAATGGCCTTTCATCACTGATGGCGATTTCCATTTGTCAATCAGTGCGCACTGAGTGTATCGGCATCTTTTTCTAAAAGCATGTAACATGTAAGGATAAGGATCCATTTTTTTTTGCACTCGTTCGACAAATGGAAATCGCTATGAATTGCAGTTTTCTTTCTTTGTCTAGACTAGGTGATTTCGGAATGATGGAAAGTGTCGACACTTTTTACACTATTGACACTGTGGCGTTCGTTTATTGGTAGGAGTTAGTTTGGTGTACACTTTATTTGCGCTTGGAAATAACTTGGTGCTTGAATGGTGGGACACCGTTTACTCGGTACAGGATGATGCTGTATTCGGTGTTACACTGCTGATTACACCTTCATCACGTGATATAACGTTTGTTTGTTATTTTAGTGTAGGATAGGTCAGTGCAGACTGCTGATGCAGTAGGTGTAGCTCATACCGACCGGGGTAGAGGAAAACAACCAAACGCGTTAGTGCAGGGTTGCGTTTAGAAATAGCACTCTGGGTGTGAGAGTAACCCTAGAGTGAAGGCTCATCCTCAATCAATTTAGTAGCGAAGTGGCACTTCGGCACGCAAACTAGGAAAGAAAATGTTGTTTAATGTTGGCATCCTCAATTCAATTCCGTGCTGGCATGCACGTCGACTCCAAAGTGAAGAATGCAAGCTGCCAGCTTTTTCGATGCGTGCCGACTTATGTCATGCGCAGTACGTTAAAAAATTAATTTATTTAATTTAGGTTATCCTTGCGTTCGGTATTTTGCTCAAAGAGCAGAGTGGAGCTGTAATCACGTGACCCAGCGAGCGCACAGAGCAGTTAAACGCTGTATCGGAGGGCTCGAAATTTTATTAAACGAACGTGAATGAGCTTGCACCGAGTACACTTTTTGAATAAACGGACGGTAAATTTATGCTCAGAGAACTCAGATCAAAATACCGATAGCACTGTATGTGACCGTACTACACGCACAGCAGACTGAAAATTGACAGCATTGAGGATGGGTATAAATTTTCCAGCACGCGTGCCAAAGTGGCACTTCGCTACCAGATTGATTGAGGATGTAGCTTAACTCTAAACCGTTTATAAATTAACAGGTGCTTACTCGGAGCGTTACGCTGGAATCGTTCAGGAATCGAGAGTTGACGTGCCCATCACCCAAATTAAATACCCCACTCAGAGGCGAGTTCAGGAATGACACACCCAGTGTGAGTGTGACACCGGTGCGACGCCCTAGCTGTTCAAAAATGCTAGACGGTGCTATGGGCCCAATGGCCAATTGTCAATTCAGGCACACTCTGTGCGTTATTTCTGAACTCGGCCCTGGAAATGGGTTGAAAAACGCCTCGTGGTTTTTACCGTGTTTGACGTTGGCATTTAGCGCAACACCCCAATAGGCTCGTACAGCATATTTTTTTTATTACATATTCTAAAAGAGCGTATTGAGTTTAGCAGTTGTGCAAAATTTCATAATTTTCCGAGCCCTTGTTCATATTTAAATAAATTATCAAAAAGCTCCAAATTTGAAAATTTTGAAACACGCGGTGACGTCACTGCATCTCTCACGTTGGTCGTGTGACGGCTTTTAGCCCGTCTTGACTCGAGAGATGACGTCATACCATCTCTAAGCGATGAATTTCTGAGGCATAATGTTTTATTATTCAAAGCCGCATAACTTTTTTAATATTTATCCAATTGCGCTGAATTTTTTTTTGTGTGCTATATGTGAGTAATACTCCATAAAAATATCAAAAAAGGTGGTTAATGAAACCTCACTGAACGAGCCTATTACGTTTAGAAAAGGCGCACCCAGAGTGCACTCCAAGTGATGACGTCAGAACACACTGACAAACAACTACTCTACCTTCACACTCCATTTCTGAACGCGCTCCAGTTCATGTCGCGATGCGGATAATTCTCTAACCTCAAAAAATTATTATTATTTAAGTAAATTAAAGTGGAAACCAACCGAAAAAAAATGTGTTATATTATTGAAAAAAATAAAATTCACAAGGTTTTTATTGTCAAAAATTATAGAGAAGATAAAGATTCAGCTCGAAAACACTTTCATTGAAGTAGTTTTTAATACCCAGAAGCGCAATAAACGAAACTACATATAGTCGGGGAGCTGGCGTCGAAAATATGCAAGAGTTTTCGCAAGGCTCATATTTTCAGAATGAGTAGCATTTTAGTACTACAAAGCTAGGCTACAGTCAGCAGTTCCAGTTCCGGGACACCTGGCGCTGAGATGCGCGCAAAGGTGTATTTTTAATCAACACCTCGCAACAGTTTTCGCAAAGCTGAAAATTTGCAAAGAGCATGCGAATATAATGTAGAACCATAATTTAACAGTCAGACAAAGAAATACGGGGACACGTAGAGTCAGCGCGACTTTGAAGTGGTCAAAAAAATGACGTCACCGAAAGTGTTTTCGCATGGCTGAAATTTGGCAAGGTAATAGTAAAAACAATATATTTATTGAAAAAAACAGTCAGACACTTCTATGTCGGGACCCCGCCAGTCAGCAGTCGATTAAAGTGATATAGGTGGTAGCGCGCGTCAATAGGCATATATCCATGTCGAATAATAATTTCACCAAAAGTGTTTTCGCATAGCTGAAATTTGGCAAGGTAATAGTAAAAACAATATATTTATTGAAAAAAAACAGTCAGACACTTCTATGTCGGGACCCCGCCAGTCTGCAGTCGATTAGAGTGATATAGGTGGTACCGCGTCATTAGGCATATATCCATGTCGAATAATAATTTCACCAAAAGTGTTTTCGCATAGCTGAAATTTGGCAACGTAATAGTAAAAACAATATATTTATTGAAAAAACAGTCAGACACTTCTATGTCGGGACTCCCTCAGTCAGCAGTCGATTAAAATGATATAGGTGGTAGCGCGCGTCAATAGAATTTTACTCTATATACATATATCCATTTCGATGAATAATTTTCTTTTTATAATTTAAATTATTTGGAATCGGAAACGGTAAAATAAAATTGTACATGCAGTTAAAAAGTTTGCGGTTAGAAAAAAGCCCGATTCGTATAAATATTACTTGACCATTTAATCAGCAGTACTGTGATAGTATACCTATAGTAATTAAATAAATTCAGTTTTAATTATATTTATTGTAGTTTCATTAAATACTTATAATCATCGCCGATTTTATAAAATACAAAAAAAAAAAATTCTAATCACATCTGCCGCTTCCCTTCCCCTAATCTCGACCTAACAGTACCATAATGAAGTTTCCGAATTCGAATGCATATACGCCTTATTCAAGTATACGCGCTTACGCTTGCAACTTACAGGTTTACACTTACTCATTAAGAGAAAAAAAAATGTATTTTACCGTTTCCGATTCCAAATAATTTAAATTATAGAAATAAAATTATTCATCGAAATGGATATATATAGAGTAAAATTCTATTGACGCGCGCTACCACCTATATCACTTTAATCGACTGCTGACTGAGGGAGTCCCAACATAGAAGTGTCTGACTGTTTTTTTCAATAAATATATTGTTTTTACTATTACCTTGCCAAATTTCAGCTATGCGAAAACACTTTTGGTGAAATTATTATTCGACATGGATATATGCCTAATGACGCGCGCTACCACCTATATCACTCTAATCGACTGCTGACTGGCGGGGTCCCGACATAGAAGTATCTGACTGTTTTTTTCAATAAATATATTGTTTTTACTATTACCTTGCCAAATTTCAGCTATGCGAAAACACTTTTGGTGAAATTATTATTCGACATGGTTATATGCCTATTGACGCGCGCTACCACCTATATCACTTTAATCGACTGCTGACTGGCGGGGTCCCGACATAGAAGTGTCTGACTGTTTTTTTCAATAAATATATTGTTTTTACTATTACCTTGCCAAATTTCAGCTATGCGAAAACACTTTTGGTGAAATTATTATTCGACATGGTTATATGCCTATTGACGCGCGCTACCACCTATATCACTTTAATCGACTGCTGACTGGCGGGGTCCCGACATAGAAGTGTCTGACTGTTTTTTTCAATAAATATATTGTTTTTACTATTACCTTGCCAAATTTCAGCCATGCGAAAACACTTTCGGTGACGTCATTTTTTTGACCACTTCAAAGTCGCGCTGACTCTACGTGTCCCCGTATTTCTTTGTCTGACTGTTAAGTTATGGTTCTACATTATATTCGCATGCTCTTTGCAAATTTTCAGCTTTGCGAAAACTGTTGCGAGGTGTTGATTAAAAATACACCTTTGCGCGCATCTCAGCGCTAGGTGTCCCGGAACTGGAACTGCTGACTGTAGCCTAGCTTTGTAGCACTAAAATACTACTCATTCTGAAAATATGAGCCTTGCGAAAACTCTTGCATATTTTCGACGCCAGCTCCTGGACTAATAGGAAAATATTTGAGACTGCGGTGCTTTCTTATACAGATATCGAATTCAAGAGGCATTTTCCTATCAATTACTATTAATCGAGGTTTATAAATATATAAGCTGGGTTCGGCTATTCAGCACGGAGTTAGAGTGGAGTAAGAACAGATTTTTTTCACGTGATCTAGGAGTGATTAGAGTAAAAAATTAATACACGAACGACCGGAACGGTCGGAGCAACAATGTCAAACAGCTGATTTGTTTTGTTTTGAAACAACAGTCAACCATGACTTTATAATAATGTTCCTCCCAATTTTTTTTTCACATTTGTCTGATGCTTTTGCCTCTGTTCAACTTTGTCAAGGAAATTATTCCATCATGTTTATTACATTCTAAAATCAGATCAATTATTTTACTCGATGATTTCACCCATATGACACACTAGGTCAAGGATAATATACTAGGTGTGTTCGGCTTGCTCACTCCGTGCACTTCGAGTGACTCCATTCGCACTCCAGTCGTTCGGGTTAAGGTTCGGGTATTGGTTTTTACCGGGGGTGACTCCATTAGCTCTGTTGACTCCACTCCAACTCCGCGCTGAATATCCGAACCCAGCTACTAAGGATTGCTTATCAGCCTCGTTTTTGGTAATCGCCGCCATTTCTACTGAATTCCTTTTATGCATCGAGTTACACTGTTATCTATTTTTTAAACATTACCGTCCTTACCTAAAAAGGGCTTCTTGCACCCCCCGCGAATTTGGTGCATCAGGGGAAAGGGGAATGCATTATGAGCGACTCGAGTGTTTAACGCACTTTTAAACGTTCATGCAAGCTTTTGACATTAAGCCGCTCTGAGTAAAGGCCAAAACCCACTAGCAACACGCCACGTCATGCTTCGCCACGCCACGCCATGTGACGAAAATTTATGCGTATATTCTTCCATTTATTTATATGTGCTGCGTACACACTTGCCATACGCGATACCACGCCATGGCACGCCACGCCATCCGTCCATTTGCACACAAACTGTCTCACGTGAACCTGTGTCACATGGCGTGGGGTGGCGTGGCGTGTTGCTAGTGGGTTTCGGCCTTAACTCAACAAGTAAAAGAAATACAGTAATTGATGTCAGCATTTGCGACGTCATTAACAAGTCGTCAGCTGTTTGCACTAGACTAGAGGTCGTAGTTTACAATTCCAATTTATGATGAAAAATATTATTCAATTTTAATTAACATAATAGACGAAGAAGAGGAAGATGAAAACCAGATCTAAAAAAAGTTTTAGAATGTTAATCAATGTAGTAAAACCAAGTATGCATAAAGAAAAAACCCGCGGAATCATTACCTGTAGTGCAAACAGTTTACGCCAAGGCGAGAAAGGACACGCTGCCTACGTCACAACTGGTGATTTGGCGTGGTGGGGGGCTTCAGATTTGTTCCACACAGGCCTTAGGCGGATAGGCTTTTCTGTAGTAGTAGTGTGTATCATCCGTGCCACTACGTACCCGGAATTTAAAGCAAATCCCGGTAATGAATGTAGTCGTTGGCGCTTTCTGTTTTAATAAAGTTCAACTTAACCTAAATTTTTATGTTTTTAAACAACTCTAAATAGTTTACTATCGTCTGATTGCAGATTTTACTTCTAATTTGGGATGAGTTGTTCGACATTCGACATTTCCGAACCCAAATCGTTTGTATAAGGTATCTCGAACCTAAACTAACTTTCATAGTTTGAAATGTTTCAAAAAAGTGATAAAAACATCAATAAACTAACCCAAAATACAACAACGTAGCTATAGCTTTTACATGAGGTGGGTTCGGCTTGCTCACTCCGTGCACTCCGAGTGACTCCATTCGCACTTTAGCCGTTCGGGTTAAGGTTCGTGTATTGCTTTTTACCGTATTAGGGGTGACTCCATTAGCTCTATTCACTCTGCTCCAACTCCGCGCTGGATAGTTGATCCCAGCTATTGGGGGGGGGGGGTTAGAGCAGTGGCGGCTCGTGGTCTATGCTGGAAGGGGTTTCAATTTTAGACTAAACGATGTATAGGTAACCTGGCGTAGCATAGCCAGAGCTGTTCTGAGTACAGGCAAAATGTACTCGGGTATGGGTACAAGTACTTAGCATAAAATGTACTCGAGTACAGAGTACAATTACATTAAAAAACACATTTTAGTTTACTATCAATTCAACAATTTTGAAATTTGGTTTGGTTAGCCAGAGTCCAGAGTTTAAGAGTCCAGAGTCCAGAATTTCCAAATTTATGGTCACAAACACAGTAACCCTTTTCACGTGGCTCCGGTTTAACAAACCGCAACATACCGCTCAAATTCGAGTGGTAGGTATCCTTCACGTCACTTTGTAACCGGGTTAGAAAACGGATTTTCATTTCTTTAACCGTTTTGTAACCCGGTTAGTTAAACCGGAGCCACGTGAAAAGAACTTTTGTCACAGTGCACAGAAAAGTTCAATAATTTTCGCTTGCAAATTACAACGATCAACGGAACGCATGCTAAGCATCTGTTATTGTACGCTAAACAAGAAATGCCTGAAAATTGGTCATATTGTAACATAATGTCAGGTCTCAACTTATCTGGAAATGTACTTGTGGCCAAATAAATGTGTACTTAGAGTCCAATAGTTTTACTCCGTAACTGCAAATGTATTCGAAAACAATGAAAATACCCGGGTATAACAAATGTATTCGAGTAAAAACGCATATAGGTACGCGGGTATTCTAGAATTTACTCAGTACAATAAAAAGTACTGGGTATTTTATATATTCTTAAGCAGTCCAAGTACAAGTACCATCGTCACCAAAAGTATCTGGAATCTGGGACACAAATAATGCCTAATGATCTCCTGGACTAATTCTACTGTCATTCATTTCAATGCATTATATTCATAGTTTGACAAATATTTGACAATAAAATTCATATAATAGGACAACAGCTAATGTGATGCTGTCCCAGTTACTTTTGGTGACGATGGTACATGATTCAAAAAGTTATCTTGGCTCGAGTAACGAGTGAGTAAAAATGTACTTAAAGTACAAGTGAAGAGTACTTGTACCCAAGTACCGCACAGCTCTGAAGCCTAAGATATCGCCAAAGGCAAATTATTTTTTCGGGTGCCGCACGCAGAAAAACGTTTATTTTTCTTCAAAAAATCATTTAGTTGAATGGGGGGAATTCGAACCTCCAAAACCCTCCCCTTATAATATACGTCTTTGCCAAAATACCAATCAGCCGATAAAAACAAAATCAAAACATCGGGATTCATTTAAATCCCGGTTCCTAAGTGTGTCATATGGATGACGTCATCAAAACTACCGGTAATAAATGTGTTATCGGTACCGGGATTCTAGACACAGCGTTCCCGCATCCACATAAACGATTTTTAATTTTTTGTAACGTAACAACAACCACAACGTGACAACCACTAATCTAGTGACAACACAACCACAAGCTTGACAATTTACACATTTCATTTCTGCGCTTGCTATTCACTTCTAAAAAATTCCTTTTTCGAGGTGGAATTTTCGGAGTGAACTCCATTATTACTCCACTCCGTATAGTTGAACACTTAATGGAGTCACACCTAATACGCTAAAAGGCAATACCCGAACGGTTGGAGTGCGAATGGAGCCGAACCTACCTTCAGTCAGACAACATGGATAGAATTGACCTTTTCAATTTAAAACCCTCTCTCTCTGGCGTCTAACTGTCAGACGCCAAAAGAGTATGAAAACAACGGTTGACAGCCGCTGACAGTGGTTTGTTGACAAGACTTTTGTACATGTGGAAACTGGAAACTATTATTTCTTCGGTCTTTTCAATGTTTTTTCCTAACAATAATGATTGTGTAGTGTGCCTTTTTGTAAAAATAATTCCTATTTACCGGCGGAGGTGTCTTTCCATAAGTTTCCATCAAATCCTACATTTCTCAAATTTTGGATACATAAAATCAGAAAGAATACTCGCAAAAAAAAAGGAAAATCCACGGCCTATCAAGTATACACAGTAATCCACGTTCAAGTTTAGTTTGCAGGAGCTGTTTGCTTCCAAAATAATCCACCGCTTTCTCCATAGCGAAGTTCTGCAAATAAAGTAGTGACATTTCCCACATTTTCTTTCAAAACACCCAATACACACTGGCATTGACAAGCAAGCAAATTTTGGCAGGAAAATGATTGTTTTCATACTTTATTGTCCACCTCTTTTAATTGAAAACGTCAATTGTAGGGTAAGTAGTTCTAAGCAAAATTCATATAGTAACAGCCAAACGAAACAACACTGTTGCCGCCTTCCCATTCTGTACTTGTTTATACCTCCTCTTGAGAAACTGTGTCTTGAGCAGGTATAGGTGGTAATGCAAGATTGGGCACCCTACACTGAAATTACAAACGCCTTACACTATTTGCACTAACTGCATAACAAATGCCTTAGTGCAGAAAAGTGTAAATTATTGTGCACCAGTGGGAGCATAATAAACAGACCTATAATTACTGTATTCCTTTTACCCGTTGAGTTCTCAATGTCAAAAGCTTGAATGTTCTTTTTAAAGGGCGTTAAGCACTCATAGTGAGTGCATCCCCGTTTCCCTTGATGGACCAAATTTGCGAGGGATGCAAGAAGCTCTTTTAGGTAATGACGGTAATGTTAATATTAAAAAATAATGATAAAATTTGAATTGTGTGTTTTAGAGTGACTCCGAGGAGCTCGTTCGGTGTAACTCGATGTATAAAAGAGTTGAGTTTGGAATGGAATTTTAGTGCAGTGCTAGTGCGGTGTTCGTTTAGTATAGTGTTGCGTCATGTGATGAAGGTGTAATCGGCGGTGTAACACCAAATACACCGTCACTTTGTAACGAGTGAACGGTGTCCCACCATATTTACATCATTTGGACACCAAATCATTTCCAAATGCAAATAAAGTGTACACTAAACTTACTCCTACCAATTAACGAACGCCACAGTGTCAATAGTGTAAAAAGTGTCGACACTTTCTCGCACTAACACTGCACTAAAATCCCATTCCGAACCGAACAATCCGAACTCACCTTGAGCGCTTTCTTTTATTCAGCGTTGGATCTATCGGTGAGCAGTCTAACTTTGTCTAGTTCATGTAAAATCGGAATGGCTGTCTCATAATGTTGGCAGCAGATGTATCCATTGTTGAATAAAAGAAAGCGCCCCTTCTTTCGTCTTGTCAAGATTTTAAAACTGACAGTCTGACACTGACACTGACAGCAGCAACAACAAAAAAAAAAAGAAAAAATGTTTAATTTATTTTTAAATTTAAAAAATCACTAATTACTAAACAACATGTAATTAGCTTGAGGGGATTCCGACAATATGTCCGGTTGTTACAAACGCGTAAACTTTTACGATTTGTGCCGCCTCTGCGCCCAAAACATCCAAAAGAACAAAATCAAAATATTCGAGGAGGGCCCCAAGAGCGATTTGCATGCGAAAATCAAAAAATGCCTGGCAATAAACGTAATTGTTTCAACAAATCATCTACAATTCATTAACTCAATCAATTCCAGGTCAAAGAAGACGATTTCCTGCCAAAAGTGATTTGCACAAAGTGCATAAAGTTGCTTGAAATATGCAACGCTTTCAGAGAGGGCTGCGTCAATTCTGAAACGATGCTTTCAAGCTACTTCAAAAACTATAGACACACTGAAGACTTTAAAAAGTCAGGCAAGGTTTACATCAAAGACACAGTAAAATCAGACATAATTGACCCAAATCAATCCCTAAACAAAAATCCCTCGACAACTCCAAGCAAAATTACAGTTTTTCAATCTAAAATCCTTCCTCCAGCAGCCCCTATTACCAAAGCAAAACCCATAAATAATTCACCTAAACCAGTAGTTTCAAATAAGAAAATAAAGATGCAAGACACAGCTTTAATGCAAACAATGCAACTCGATTTTATTAATGAGGCCCTCAAAAAGGCTGTGCAACAATTGCCCAAAGAAATTTTAAATAAAGTAATTGTTAATTCTAATGGGGAAGTTATTAATTTATCACCACCAGATTCTTTAAGTATTGAGGCACCTCAATTGCCTCAAACTGTTATAAAAAACAAATTAAAAAAGAAACCTGTAGTCAATAATATAATAGAGATTGATTTGACTAAAGAGGATAATAATGGGACAGAGAAAGAGGTTAATAAATCTAATAATGCTCCTGTGCAAAATCCTACAGTTATTTTTCCAGTACCCCAATATCAGGTAATAACTAATAAACAAATAAAACTTAAATTGATTTAAAATTATTGTAGAACAACATTTACCCAAATGTCCCAACTTCAGTTATAAACGTAATCTGTAGCAACCCTATAGAAGAAAATGCTGCTGTTGCCTCAATAAGTCAACCTTCTAGCATCAACATGGAAGATCTTCGAGGTGGCACTCAGCCTTTTGTACCCAAACCCAAGCACACTAAACCTAAGGTTGAAGAACCCTCAGCCAAAATGCACACTTGTGAAGTGTGCTCAAAAACATTCAAGAGACGCGAGCATTTGTATCAGCACGTCAAATTGCACACTGGCTTTAGGCCATACCAATGCACCGACTGCAAAAAGACATTTGTCAGGAAAGAGCATCTTTTGCGCCACATGGTCTTGCATTCTGGCGAGAGGAATTTCAGCTGTGATATTTGCAGTAAGAGTTTTTCCAGGCATGATAATTTACTCAAACATATTCGTACGCATAATAAAGAATCAAGTTACACTTGCGAAATTTGCCAGAAAATTTTTCTTGTTAAGCATTACTATGATTTGCATAGGGGTGAGCATGGCAAGTGTTTTTTAAGAAGTAATAATGTTTGTTGAATATTTGGCTTAATAGTCCGGTCTGGTTTGTATTCCTGTGTGATTTTTTGGTATGCAAGCAAGCGGTTTTTTTTAAAGAAATTCTAATGCCCTAAGGTGTAACTGTTTTCAGTCGGAACGCTATAGAATGTGTCAGTGCCGTGCAGTTGACATAAATGTCATTACCTCATTTTCAATTTTTATTATTTTTTCTACTACTGTGTGTAAAGTACTCACTTACTCACTTCACGCACTATTCAGAAGACGTAAAATTTCACTTCACGCAAAGTAATTCACTTCACACACTAGTGCGTAAAGTAATGTCAATGACAAGTGTCAACACTGTCAATTTGGCATTTTTCTGGTAAATCACTTCACGCACTAGTGCGTAAAGTGAAAATTCTTTACGCACTAGTGCGTAAAGTATTTGACTAAATTTATTTTTTTTACACATATTTGATTGGTAGTAGAAAAATTTTTGTATGCAATACGTGCGTAAAGCACTTTTTTTCACTTATGTGATTGTCAAAATTCACGTTCGTGAAAAAAGGTTCACTTTACACACTTGTTGCATAAATAACTATTTTAAATATGGTTATTTAGTGGTACCGTTGTTAGATCTGTCCCTAATTTGTCCTTATTTATGTAGGAACATATCAAAAAAGAGAAAAAACAACCGAGATAGATGATAGACTGCGTATGCGCATAATTTAAAGTTGAAAAGCAATTATTCACAACATTTGAAATGTTTTAGAATATACAGGCGCTTCTTCATTTTCGACATCGCTACTTGCTCCGCGATTTGAGTTATTGATAGATTTATTCATTTCGTAAAGGCGGTTACACACGGACGTGGATGGCTTGATACATAGAATCTGTTTTTTTTTTAAAGATAATTCCCCAAGTCAAAAATTTAGTAACTATGTTGGCAACATAAGCCTTTTCTACATAAAGAGTTTGAGAGATTGACAATTTTACATTGTATTGCCAACATAATGTCATTTTGACTTTTATCTTTAAAAAAAAACAGATTTTTTCTACTACTGTGTGTAAAGTACGCACTTTACGCACTATTCAGAAGACGTAAAATTCCATTTCACACACTAGTGCGTAAAGTAATTCACTTTACAAACTAGTGCGTAAAGTAATGTCAATGACAGATGTTGACACTGTCAATTTCGTATTTCTCTGGTAAATTACTTTACGCACTAGTGCGTAAAGCGAAAATATTTCACGCACTAGTTCGTGAAGTATTTGTCTAAATCTATTTTTTTACACATATTTGATTGGTAGTAGAAAAAAAATTGTATGCAATACGTGTGTAAAGCACCTTTTTTCACGAATGTGAATTTTGACAATCACATGAGTTACTTTACACACTTGTTGCATAAATAACTATTATATAAACTATATATAAACAATATATATATATATACAACAACGTCCATGTCACCTTTGTACAGACGCTCGCACAGAACTGTCAGTCTTGTTACTCTTGCTACAGTATTTCGAGTGTGCATGTGCATTTTTATTCTCATCAGTGGAGCTATCTTTGTTCAGTGAATGGAAAATGACAATGACCAACATAGAATGGTGGATCCATCGGTAAAATTTGATGAGAATAAAAACACAGGGTGCATACAAAATTTCTAGCGATTCCAGAATTAATTTGAGTGTCATTCTACAGTTTTTGTTTGCACATTCATGTATGTGCGTACATGTTTTCAGACATTCACGTCCGTATGTAACCGCCTCTTGACATGAAAAGAGTTTTGTATACAGGGTGTCCCAAATTCGAGGGTGAGCATTGAGATATCGGAAACTATTAGAGATACGAGGTTGGTTAAAAGTGGTAAAATCATGACAAAGTTGTGCAATTTTATGACCAATGAAATGCAGTTTTGAAATTTGAAAAATTCCGAATACTTCTGAAGATATTCGGAAAAAAACCAAAATTTTGCAAAATCATTTTTATTTTTTCCTGAGTCTATTTGAAGAGCAGTGTCACTTCATCATTGTCACTTTTTTCTTATTACAAGATGGTACCATCATATTTAAAATCTGACGTCTCGTCTTTGGGCTACAATCATCAACTTCATTTTTTTAAATACGGACCCTTATTTTTTATTTTAGCTCCTCGAGGTTTCCTCAGACCTTAAGGAAGCCTTGAGCGGTTAGAATTGACGTCACCATCTTCTCAAATAGAAGCATGTGTCCATTCTAAACTCAAGACCTCCAGGGAAAACTCAAGTTTTGATTGGTAAACGATGATTTATTTCCAAAAGCCAGTAAAACAGCATTCCAAAAGGCTATCTAAAATTTTTCTTACCCTTTTCATAGGAACTTATTCCTATGGTGATAAAGAAATAGTTCTTGAGTTCTCTCCTATTCCAGTGTAAAAATAAGTTTCGAATCCAAGTTTGTAAATTGTAGATTGTATTTTTGAAGTCGTTACATCTTGTTCCAGCTGCTCAAGCACTGCTTCCTTTTTGCCAAAACCAAAACGTCAGTATTGGGAAAAAATATGTTTAATATTCACATATTTTGTATTGATAAATGCATAGCATGTAATATAAGCTTTGTCGCTTGCTCCTTCTTGATCAGAAACTAAACTGCTAGACAAATGTAACTTCAAATTCCAATATTACGCGAACTAACAAAGATACCAGTGAGCAGTTTGCGAAAATAAACTTTTGAATTTCGCAATCACTCATTGATATCTTCTTCAGCTCGCGTAATATTGGAATCCAAAGTTAAACTAAAAATTCACTTGTTCCGCTTCATTTGTCCAGCAGTTTATTTAGTTGTGTTGAAATGCCTGTTTTAAATGATAATATATTTTGTTAACAATAATTTGCAGTAAACAGCGAGGTTTCGCATAGTTCCATGGTCGTGCGCTATGTTCGTCTAAGCATGTTCTATCGCTCATGGGCGTACGCATATAATTTCTAAAATTATATAAAATGTTAGCAGTAATCATGATTTTGTATATTTTATGTCAAACATGAAATTAAAGTGAAACAAATTGTAACGGCGTAATAGGATGCCTCTAAAACCGCTCAAAAAATCATTTGATCTTATTTTCCCGTACTGTACGCATCTGACACATAAGTTGGCGTTCCGACTGGACTTGGAAATTCTTTATGATACAAATTTTAGTTTAAAAAAAAACCGCTTGCCTTGCATACCAAAAAGGCACACCGGAAACCAATTTTGAACAACTCGTACAGGACTATAACTACAGATTTAAAATGGTTGTAGTATGTTCCTACTCTAGAGGATTTTATTATTATACAGGGTTTTTTTTTTGGATGCTTATGATCTCAATTTAATAAGGTTTTTTTTTGGTTAAACCAAAAACAAATCAATTAAGTAGGTGTGGGTTATGTTCTATTAATAGTCTATAAGTTAATTTAAGTAAATTTCTAGTCATTCTGATAAAACTAAAGCTGATTGGTTTATTCACTTTCTTAGGTATGTTCCTGCAAAAATCACAGTCAGAAAACTAGTTTCAACCAATGAACTGGTTTGTGATTTCTGCAAAAACAAATCTCTATTGGTCAGCTAAGTTATTTTTGAACCAATATAAACTGAATAAACCAGATCTACGTAGAATACTGTAAGTAAACTGTATCCATTAAAAAATAAATAGTTAACTTTATTTAAAATAAAATATAAAACATTCTCTATTGCCACGTTCGTTTTAATCCTGCAGTGTGATCAAATAAAACAGGATTCCTAAACTCTCCCTGCATATCAACCATGTAATGGAATTTATGGTTTTTGACTTTCAAAGGAAGAAATGCTACTGATGCGGATCTGGCTTGGGTGGCACTGATGTTGTTCACATCTAAAGTGAACATTCGGTTTTTGCCAAAAGGTCCATAAGTGACAATTGTGGCTTCTTTTCCACCTTTTCTCAGGATCAGATATTTTACTGCTCTAAGAGTGTAGATCCAACTTACTGAAAGAATACCCCAACCTGAAATGAATAAACTGTGTTGGTTGTTCATTTATACTGTACATACAATGTTTTTGATTTTGTATAGTTATATTTGAGTATTTACCTATCAAAAATGATACAATTGTAAAACTGTTCTTCCACTTTGACTCTCCAAAATTGATTCTACGCCACCAAACATCGTCGCTACTTTTATCCACTGGAACATCTTTTAAGGTTTGATAGGCAGTTAATGCCAAATAATTCCAGAATCCAAACTGGACTATACCAAAAAAGTTAATTACTTTAAAGGATTTTTCGTTATTAGATTTGTACAATATCACGTCTTTTACTACGTTTGTGTTCACGTCTAGGGTATGTTGTTGGCTAAATAGTCTGTGAAATTGAATTTGGGGTTTTAGTTTTAAGTAAATTTTTATTAAATTGTTCATATTTGTTTAGTTTTCGAAATTTTATTGAGGTTGGAATCCATTAAATCCAATCAAACCCTTTTCATGTGGCTCCACTTTAACAAACCGCAACATACCGCTTAAATTCGAGTGGTAGGTATCGATCACGTCACTTTGTAACCGGGTTAGAAAACGGTATGTCATTTCTCTAACCGTTTTGTAACCCGGTTAGTTAAACCGGAACTACGTGAAAAGAACTATTAAAGCGGTTTTCAACTGGGGCGCATTCACGATTCGACAACCGTTTTAGGCCCACGTTGTACAATCTCTAGGTTTGTTTTTTGTGTTGTTCGGAGCAGCACTTCCTGCTCTAGGGCGTTCGTTTGTGAGCTTTTTATATGGTTTTTCTGCTGTTAGTGCGACACAAACAAACAAACCTTCGGTTCAAAACAAAGTTTCAACTGAACTCGACTGGTACTTGAGCTTTCTTATTTAAACCGTGCGTTCGGTATTTTGATCTGAGTTCTCCGAGCATAGATTTACCGTTCGTTTATTTAAAAAGTGTACTCGGTGCAGGCTCAATCGTATTCGTTTATTAAAATTTCTGGCACTGTGATACAGCGTTCAATTGCTCTGTGTACGCTCGCTGGTCACATGATTACGGCTCCGCTCTGCACGCGCTCTGCACGCGCTCTGCACGCGCTCTGCACGCGCTCTTTGAACAAAATACCGAACGCAAGGAAAATACATTGCTGTCAGCTATTAATGGCCGCGTTCACCAGATACAAACGTTGATAAACGCCTTGCGATTGTTCTGCTGCGCTACGTTCAATTTGTGTTGAAACCAAACATCAAATATGTTTTATTTTTTTTTACAAACGGTCGCCATTTTTGCAAACATAATTTCAGTGTTTATAATTTCAAACACTTTGTGTTTTGTGTGAGGAATGATACAAGTCACTTTATACACTATTGACACTGTGGCGTTCGTTAATTGATAAAAGTATCAGTTTGAAACTTGAAACTGGTTCAAAACTGTTTTGAAACAGTACATTCTCGCGATAAACTCATGACGTCACGTCAAAATTGGTTCAAACCGTTTTGAAATACAATCCAATCCACGTTTTCAACCCATTTTCTCGCGCCGAGAAATTATGACGTCATGGTGACATTACTTAAACCCAGGTTTGAAAAATGTTTAGAAACATTTGAGACGCGAGAAAACGCCTCTTATTTACGTTTGGAAATAACTTGACGTCCGAATGGTGTAAAGACGGTGGGACACCGTTTACTCGGTATAAAATGATGGTGTATTCGGTGTTACACTGCCGATTAATCCTTCATCACGTGATATAACCGTGAACTACACGAACACCGCACTAAAGTCCCATTCCGAACTCAAATGACTGTGGTGACGTGACCGTGACATTTAGAGGGTAACGTTCTATCACTAGTTGTAATCCTTTCACATCTAGGAGGAGCTCCGGAACAGCTCCGGGGCTTCACGCGCTTATTACTTTCGAAAAGTGTTTGTTGCACCACGCATCTGTTCGCTGCAAATCGGGGGCGACTAAACACCGGAGCGAGTAGCTCGAGTGTTTCAAACTCGTGAAAGGAATACAACTATTGAAAAAATTAATCGTTCAGCAGAACTAAGACCAATTAACAAGCGTTTAGCGGTTAGAACAAAAACAATAGAAAATTCGTAAACAACAGAGAGCGGGAAAATTGTGACAGGTGTAAACTGAAATATTAAAGTTGTTTTGTTAATATATTTTTTTTATTGATAACCTATTTTACTTATTTAAAGTACTCCTCAGCGTGTTTAAATCCAACATTCAAAAACGCGCGTGTTTTAAAGTTACCAATGACAACATCAACAACCCGAGAAAGGTTTAAATGTCAACTTTTTAATTATTGATTTGTCAGGAGTAGATACTTTGTATATAACGTCAAATAAAATATAACAAATGTTAAGCACGAATTCAGCATTCTACAATTATTAGTAATTTATGAGCTGCTTTCGGGTGCCGCCATTTGAGCGCTCCCGAGTTACTCCAAAGTACTCCGGCTACTGTTGCACCCGTTTGCGTGCAAAACGCATGGAGTATGACAGGTCACTGACAGGTGTGAAGTGTTCTAGGAGCACCCGAAAGCGGCTATGGTTTGAACGTATACCAATAAAAAAAAATAGTGTAAAGTATTCGTGGATAACTGGTCTTTAAAACACTTGCTCTATTTCGAGAACTCCGGCTGTGCCGTCGTGCTGGAAAAATCGCGCGTGTTTTAAAGACCCTAAATCCACTTATACTTCATAATAACGTCATCACTTGACATACCGCTACTAATCGTTTTGTAACCCGGTTAGTTTAAACCGGAACCACGTGAAAAGGACTACTCATTTTATCAGTTTTGACCAAAGGCGTTTTCTCGCGTCTCAAATGTTTTAAAACATTTTCCAAAACTGGTTTAAGTAATGTCACCATGACGTCATAATTTTTAGGCGCGAGAAAATGGTTTGAAAACGTAGATTGGATTGTATTTCGAAACGGTTTGAACCAAGTTTGACGTGACGTCATGGGTTTATCACGAGAATGTACTGTTTCAAAACAGTTTTGAACCAGTTTCAGAAAAGTGGACGCGAGAAAACGCCTCAGACTTGTTCCAAGAAAATTTTCAAGGATGCATTCAACATTTACCAATGAAAAATTGTGCATATTCTTTTGAGATTGTGCACATGCCTAAAAATGACGTAAGTGACGTACAGTGACTCTATTATTCACAGTGGCGACAATTGCTGTCTCATTTTTGATTGGTTCTGAAATCCCATATATTTAAATTGAAAACGAGGCCATCTTGTTTCCACCTATTGCTTATTTCAAATACGATTTTATGGGATTTGCGTGAACATCCATCATAAAACATGGAAAACAACGTATTTGATGGACCTAATAGAGAGTTCTCGTGCAATCCAAATTTCAAATACCGTAACGCCATTTGATAAATATGACAGTTATTACGGTATTAGCATTAGGGGAGCCCGCTATCTAACGGAACTTAGCGGATGTCTTACCGTAACGCTATGCTATGTCAAAACTAGTTTACGCTTTATTTATGTCTGCAAAAACAGCAACTTTTAATAATTCTTGCATAAAAACGGCCAAGGGAAAATTAATCAAGCTCAGGAATCTTCAGGATAAATAAAAGTTAGAATACAAGCAAACAAGCAAAAAAAAAGGTGGGTTAGATCACTCAACTCAGCTGTCAAAATGTAAACAGAATAAGGGATTAGAAGATTTCTATTGTCGCCACTGTATGTAAAAGATTTATGGCCGTTTCCACCAACCATTTTAGGGGAGCCCTAACGATAAGTATTCCCTAAAATGACATTTTTACATGGAGAAATGTCAGTTTAAGGCATACCTATCGTTAGGGCTTCCCTAAATTAGTTGGTGGAAATGGCCATTACCACTGTAAAGTGACGTACAGTGACTCTATAACCCACAGTGGCGACAATTGCTGTCTCATTTTTGATTGGTTCTAAAATCCCATATATTTATATTGAAAACACCGCCATCTTGTTCCCAACCCCTTGTTACTTTTTAATATGAATATATGGGATTTAGGTGAACATCCATCATAAATCATGGAAAATAACGTATTTGATGGACCTAATAATGGTCATCAAATACGTCGATTTCAATTTTTTATGATAGATGTCCATTTGAATCCTATATATTAATATTTAAAAGTAACAAGAGGTTGGGAACAAGATGGCGGCGGGACCTCTATTGTCGCCACTGTATGTAAAGGTTTATTTAGCCACTGTAAAGTGACGCAATTAATAGCGCCATCTCTTGGGTTTTACAGAAAGCAGGGGTAGAACTAGTAGAAGATCTACAAGTTGTCGAAAAATTGATATTTATAGATGGCGAAGAAATAAAATAAAAATTACAGTGACTCACGATAAACGTTTAGCACTGTTCTCCAACAGACATCAGAGAGAACCGTTTCAGAACTAGTAATTTCCAGTTGCAGAATGCAGTCTATCATTGTCATTGATCCTCCTGACCATACGCTACGTACCTAGGGATGCCACCTTGGAAAGTAAGTTGAACCGGGGAAAAAAAAACCCTTATTAACAAAAAAAGCTGAACAAAAATCTTACAAGTCTGATAACAGATACACTATACACAAGTCTCCCCTGGCATCACCGGATGATGCTTCAGGGTTGCTAGTTCTAGTTGAGACGGTTGGAGAGGGATATTCAAGAATTATTACACACTACACAGGATAGGACAACCATAATATAGCCATCCACATATGGCTTCTGTAGATTAAATCTCAAGCCCCCCACCACGCCAAAGCACCAGTGATGACGTAGACAGTGTGTCGTTTTTCGCCTTGACGTAGGGTGTTTGCACCACAGGCTATGATTCCGCTGACTTTTTTTATGCATACTTGGTTTTAGTACATTAATGGCGACGAGATTAATCGTTAGTCAAGTCATTGTTAGCAAACAACAACCTCAGATTGTGTCACACAAAAACAATCTCGAATTGACATTGACACAATCTGAGGTTTTTGTTAACTAACAAGGACTTAATTAACGATTGATCTAGCCGCACTAAGCAACGTTCTAAAACAACCCTTTTTAGATCTTGTTTGCATCTTCCGCTTTGCCCATTATGTTATTCAAAATTGAATAATATTTTTTATCATAAATATATATTGGCCGAGTTCGTTTTTGTCATCTTTTTCGTCCATTTGCTCCGAAATTTTGACAGGCACGTAACTGGATGAGAGTGTTTCAATTTACAAATCACGTGCCTGTCAAAATTTCGGAGCAAATCGACGAAAAAGATGACAAAAACGAACTCGGCCATTTTAAACTACGACCGCTAGCGCAAACAGTTAACGACACAGTTGATACGTCGACAACGGTGCAACACCATATAATCTGGATTCCAAAAATCGAAACCGATGAGCAATCCTACAGTAGTGTGTAATATCCTTGAAGGAGAGCAGGAACAGTATTGCGCTGTTGCCAATTCCCGTCACGACAGGATAATGTTGTGACAATCGGTGCTCAATCAAAGTTGGACAAAGGGAAAGTTTCATAATTTTTCTATAATTTTAACAATAGCCTATTATAAATCAAAACCTTACTTTTTCAACAAAATTATTATACAAGAATTTTGCTTAATATATGGTCTTTTAAATGTGAAATTAATTTTTTATACACGTTGAATCAATAAATATACAGGGTGTCCCAGGGAATACAGTCCACCCTGATTTATTGGATTTGGGATGAGAATCTGGAAAAACGCTCGGACACGTCCATTTTTGATTTGAGGGGGAACTATTTTTCAGTTTTTTCCATCCCTGTAGATTCAACCCCCCACATTTGAATAGGGGATAGAGCCAGATCCATAGAGAGGTCGTATCTTATCTCTTTTTTCTACGAATGTGCGATTTTGACCACTTTCCCGCACTCATTTTAATTCAGAAAGTGTCACTTTCCTGCATTCAGTGCGGGAAAGTAACTTTGTAACCAAATTACCTTCATCATTACCTGTTTTTTATCAGTCAATTTAAAAAGAGAATAAGTTCACGACCGCTATTCCCTATTCAAATTTGGGGGGTTGTTGTTCCCCTAGCTAAGGGGTTGAAGCTACGGAGATGAAAAAAACTGAAAAATAGTTCCCCCTCAAATCAAACATGGACGTGTGGGTGTGTTTTTCCAGTTTCTCATCCCAAATCCAATAAAATCGGGGTGAACTGTTTTCCTTGGGACACCCTGTATTTATATAGAGGTTTATTTTATTATAAAGTTTGAAGTCCATCTGAATATTTGAAGTATTTTTCAGAAGCTTTTAAAGGTGATTTGATAAAAAGTTTACAAGATTTTCTTGCATTTAAATGAGAAACAATTTATAATTCCATTTCTGAGCTTAAAATCCACTTGTAGTTTGCTTTCTTTGATAAAAAGACCCTACTCAATAAATCCTGAAAGTTTGAAGTCACTTTATGATTAGGTACTTGAAGTGTTTTCTAAATATCTACCTATCCGTATAAGTAGGTAGGTACCAAAGTTTGAATTTAAAAAAGCCAATCAAAGCGGACTTTGGACTATCACATGGTTTTTAAGTCATCTTAAATGGGGACATGAACCAGATAGGTAATTGATGTTTATTTTTATTTACAGTTTATTTTTAAATCAAAAATAATTATATTATCATTATCATTACCGCAATGCTTGCTTGACGAAAAGTAAATATAATGTCTTTTAATTATAGATATTTATTATAATAAAATATAAGCAAAATACATGTATTATAATTGTTTGTCAGGAAACAATTACATAATAATTAATTCGTCCCGTGAATCATGAATAATTAATTTAGTTGTGAATATAACTCAAGAAAGAATAAAGGAAAAATTAAACTTCAAAATACAAAGAAAATGTAACTGCTATATTTATTGGTTTTTAAGCTCATTCATAAGTTCACCAATCATCTTTTTGTTAAGAGCTAGGCCTTCTTTGTTAAGCTCGTACCAAGATTCTTGCTCCATTCTTTCAATGTAAGCCTTTAAATGCGGGAATTCAGCGTAAGGAGTGAAAATATCGAAACATGTAATTGTAGTGACCACGCTGAAATCGGCAATAGTTAAACTATTGCCGGCAACGTATTTGGTTTGGTTCTTTTCCAAAACGGCGTCCAGGATTTGGAAGGCTTCTTTAAGATCTTTGATTTTTTCTTCTGTTGGTAAGATTTTTTGGAACAAAAGCGGTTTCTACAGTAAATATTATTAATATTTATAACACATAATTAATATAAAAATAAATAAACTTACAGATATCAACAATCCTCTAATAAAAAGAACGCTAGAGTCTAAATGCAGTATATGATCAATTACAGCTCTAAGTCTGCTGTCGTTTTTTGGATACAAAGAATCGTCTTTGCCGTATTGGTTTACCAAATAGCCCATAATAGCGTGACTGTCGGCCAGTAAAAATCCATCGTCTTCTTCTAGTAGAGGAACAGTATGTTGAGGATTTTTCTAGAAAATTATGGCTGGTTTATACAACATTTGCATAGTCGTAATCATAATCATAGTTAAAAAAAAAAAAAAAAAACACGTCACGATTTTGTAGTCATCCAAATCGCATTTCAAAACGAAGGTCAGTTACAATAATTATTTACTTACCTTCAAATATTCTTCTTTTAAATGATCCTTACTCAATACATCAACAGGGATCAATTCTAGTTCGACGTCCAAAACTTTGGCACACATAAGAACCGCTCTTACAGGTGGGCTGGCAATGATACTGTGTAATTTAGGAGCCATTTTTAATTAAGGTTGGGGGCCAACGATGGAATGAGGCAGTTTATACAAAAATATCGTTATAATATATTTTTAAAGTAGGACTCGAGAGAGAGCGCAGAGTGGGATTAGATTGACCTTGCCTTTATTGTTGCATCAAATTTGTTTGAAATCGTTTCTGTATTCCGGATTATTATTAATAATTGTGTAATTTATAAGAGCCAGGAGTAAAAATAAGAAAACATCGAATCAAGAGCCTGGAATAGAAAAAATTATAAAACTTCAAGAATTTGAATTGAAAGAGAAACATTTTCTTGATTATGTTTCCTTATTATTACTTACGGGTCAACTTTCGTTTAGCAGAAATCAGCTATCAGAAAAGAAAATAGAAAAATACCTTCAAAATGCCTCCATAAAAACGAAAACACACAAATTTTCCTACGGAAATGCTTCATTTCCATTTTCCGGACTTTAGAATAGCTGAAATCAGTTATGTGAAAATTTTTTGTTTGTTTGCATTTTCAACATTTTTCTGAACATACAAATACAGAAATTTTCCTGCGGAAATAAGCTGTTCCCATTTTCCGGAAAAATTTAAGAGTAGGTATTTAGAATAGTTGAAATTAATTACGTGAAAAATTGATATTCCTTTGCATTGTAAACATTTTTCTGTATGTAAAAAAGGAAAAATTTTCTCACGAAAATGCATAGATTCTATTTTCGAAACCATTCAAAAAACGCCTCTTCCCTACCTTTGATAAAAAAAAAATGAGGAAAATGCACATTTTCCATCAGAAAATTAATATATTTATAATTGACGATTTGGCCCACCCTTCGAAAATCAACTACAAAAATTCCCTATTATCGGTTGGTCGCAATCAGCGCGCATTCTTGTCAACCAGTACACAGTACACTTATAACCAGTAATAAACGGACTGTAAACCAAAAATATGCAAATTAACCCGTCCACCTGATGCGTACTAGTCCTTGAATATTAATCCAAAACCGCGCAACACAAAACAGCGAAAAAATGTTTTTGAACAATTACGGCGAAAATGGAAGACCGCGCAAAACAAAACCGCGCAGAATACATAATAGCGAAATAGTTGAAACGCTTTGGGTCGAAAACCATATACTTAGGTTGTTGAAGTTATTGGAAATTTAATTTGGAAACGCTTCCTAGTTACAAATTCAGATCCTCTTCTCAACCTTTGACACAGATCAATAAATAATATCTATTAGGCATTCCAGGTTAATGTCATAACCGATCCGCCATATTAGTTTGGGGGGCACACAAAAGCCAAACATAACCTGATTCAATGTTAAACCAAGAATTTTCAATCTATTTTGTGAAGATGCCTTCTTTTTGCTGCGTTGTTGGGTGCTCTAGTAGAGCGGAAAGAGATAAAGAAAGGTTTTTCAGGATCCCAGCAGCATTAAGAGATCTAGGGAATCGTCTAAACGAGCTAAAAAAGGAACGACGAAATCTGTGGATTAAATGCCTCAAAAGGAGAGATTTAACTGAAACGTTTCTGAAAAATGCTCGTATTTGTTCAAAACATTTTGTTAATGGTAAGTATTATGACTGTCTTGTTGTTAAAATACAAAAACACATTTATATCGAAAAATTGGTTTGTTTCTACAAGTAATATTTACTTTTAATACCTTTTAGGTAGTCCAGCAGAACTTGAATAACCCTTTATACGCCTTCAACTGCAAGCCTGTGTAGTAACTGTGGGTGTGGGTCAAATATTCGGATAAATCCAAAATTGAAACCTCTGGCAACTCATTGATACTTAAAGTAAACTCATTAGGTAGAAGTTTATAAGGATCTATATTGGCAATTATTTGTATTTTTTGGTCATACCGACATTTCACATCACTAGCTAACGATGAATAATAGTCAATGTTAGCCATTCTACCACAAAAACAACTTAAAACTTATTGAAAGAATTTAACAACGCAAAAATTCGGAAACACAATCTGAAAGAACGGTGTAAATACTGATCTAGGCTTTGTTTGCCCCCCAGCGGACCTGTCAAAGTCACGTGACCTGGAATGCCTAATTCTTATCAGCTTAATATCACAATCGCTCGACTTATTGTTATTGAGTATTTTATTTTGAAAATTAGATTTTTTAATAACAGATTTAGACTAAATATTCAATAAATTTCCAGCGACAAACATATTAATTTGTTCCTCAAAAAAATCGGGAAATCTGTCATTTAAAAATGGGGTTTTTGGAGATCCCTATAAAGTTGTTTAATTCTGAAATTGAAATATTTTTCTTGCAGTAACGCTTTTTTATCTAAATATCTTTAAAACATTTACTATACAATTTTGTTATTTAAATTTGGTTTCTGGAGGTCTTCATATTAAGGCGATAATAGCAGATATCATTCATTAATCTGTATCAAAGGTCGAGAAGAAGATGGAAATTTCCGCCTAAAACAGATCCTGCATATTCCATAGAGACCTGAGACCTTCAAAGATGATTTCTAAGTTCGGTATTGACATTTTCACGATTGATGCAGCAAATCAATAAATATAATATGTATTTTTTTCTCTGATTGTGTATATTAAAATTGCATTGGATTTCAACAAACAAAATAAGAGATGTGATGAGGTTTCGTCTCCTTGATACATAATTAGATTGATTCTTGGGTATAGGAAAGTTTGGTTAGGAATTAAAACAATTTTTCTCCTGGCAACGTTTCGTAACCTTTAATTGTTACTTTTTCAAGCCCTACAGAACAAGCATTCAGTCAAATATAATAAAATCTTTTATCTAATAAAATAACTTACTCAGAAACTAGTTTTACAACCGTGGATGTTCATTGAGTATACTCACGAAACGTTGCCAGGAGAAAAATTGTTTTAATTCCTAACCAAACTTTCCTATACCCAATAATCAATCTAATAAAATAAGAGATGCACGTTTCTGTCGTATAGAAAGGAAAATTTATTTTAATACTTTGCGCGGTTTTGAATGTAAACCCTATTTAGAATTTTGCGCGATAAAAGATATGAGCGGTTGTGACAAAAGCGATTTTGGACAACGCGGTTATGGTCTTGCGTGGTTTTCAGTAGGCAGTGATGTCGCGCGCGGTTCGTGTTTTCGCGGTGGAGTCCGTGAACCGTAACGAAACTAACCGAAAATATGCAAACTAACCCAAACTAACCCGTCCACGTAATGCATGCTAGTCCTTGTATATTGAATTTAGAAAAACAACAGCGCTCTTCGCACGCTTTGTTATTAACCAGTACACCTATAATAGTTATTTATATTACTAGTAAGGTATGAGCTTCATTACAGTAACGAGTGGGGAATATTGCCAAGACAAGGTCGTAGATCGTGTCGTGGTAATCACACGAGTGGTGTTATGAGAGTTAGCGTACGTGTGATATACAACATTTTATGTACGACCCAGATTTTTTTTCATGTATTCGAAATGGTTTTAATTTTTCACAGGATTGGATTATTTTTATAATTTTTGATTAATGAATTTTAAAAAGTGCCGTTTTTAATAATAAGCTCTTACAGTGTAGCTCGTAGGAATAGTACATAAACAGTATTAAACGAGCTGTAATGAAACTAACCCGTCCACGTAATGCGTACTAGTCCTTGTATGTTAATATTGAATTTAGTAAAGGTTCGTCGAAGGTGAATAGAATTCTTGTGGCGCCAATTTCACTGTTTGATCTAAGCCGCCATAGTGATTGGATTGCCCTATTATAACCTTATTACAAATTACAACCAAACAAATGAATAATTATGATGTATTTCCGCAATAAAATTTTCACGTTTTTTATATTCAGAAATTTTTTTTAAATGCAAAGGAGCATCAATTTTTCACGCAATTGATTTCAACTATGTACCTATTTTAAAATCTGATGAATTTCTATGAAAAATAGAAACAGCAAGGAAACAGCTTATTTCCGCAGGAAAATGTTTATGTTTTTTTATTCAGAAAAATGTTACAAAATGCAAAGCAAACAATTTTTTCAATGTAACTGATTTCAGCTATTCTAAAGTCCGGAAAATGGAAATGACGCATTTCCGCAGCAAAATTTATGTGTTTCTGATAAAAGGAAGACTTTCTGAAAACAACTGTAACAACATCTCTTATATACCTGATTTCAGCTAAACGAAAGTTGAGCCTTACTTACTTATTTTATACCAGTAATTTTTTCTATTCCAGGCGGTAGACTCTCTGAAATAATTTGAGGTCTTTAAATTGTTCTGAGGCTTTTCAAAATGCTGCTAAAGTGTTTTAGAACATTCTAAATGGCTTATTTGAAGTTCTAACTTGACTTGAAGAGTTCTAGAGCATTTTAGAAGTTTTTCAGTAATTTCTAAATTGTACTGACAGATTTTTCGAGAGTTCATCTAAAGGGTTTCCAGCTCTAAATTGAATCCTAATTGTTCTAAAATAACTTATTTGAAGTTTCTAAAATGCTCCTGAAAATCCTGATTTGGATACTTATTCAAGGTTTAAAGTTCTACAGCAATTTAAATTCGCTCTTGAATGCCTTCTGAAAGGCGTTTTGTAACTGTCAACCTGAATCCTAAAATTCTGGCACTTTTCAAAATATTTCTGGAGATTCTAGAGTATTTAAGTGTTTGAGTGTTTTGAAGCGTCCTGAAATGGGTTTCAAACTTCTGAATTGTTCTAGAACGCATTTGGAAATTGTAAATCGATTTTTGAATGTCTTAGAGGTGAGTGGATGAGGTGCTTTGAGTAACTATCATATCAACCGAAGCACCCAGAAGGGCGCACAATAGATCTATGCAGGTCGCAGTGTAACAATACCTTCATTTATTCATTCCAGGATTGGTTATTGGACTAGTTTTTGGTAATAGGGTTAGGGTACTTGCATGAAAAATTATAGTTATTTATGTATCAAGGGAATTATGAGTGTGTTAATACCCCAGGGCAAAGTTTGTGTCCCGAGGGCCTTCGGCCCGAGGGACACCAATTGCCCGTGGATATTAACACCTGATAATTCCCGTGGTACCTATATAGATAATTTTATTTCCTACTGAATTTACTGTATTTTGCCAATTTTTAAATTTTTATAAAGAAATAAACCATAAACCAAAATTTCTATTTTTTGTTAAAGTTTCACCTATTCAAGGTAAAAGCG